GAGCTTTCTGGTGTAGAAGGTTCTTAAGGGAAAATGCTGTATATGCTCACTGTCTGTGAGGCCCCTCAAAAGCCAGCTAAGCATTTTCCTGTTCAAGGACAAGATGTTATGACTGCTCCACGGTGCCTTAAATGTGGAGCGACTGTTTAGTTTAAGACTTTCTCATAAGGGACAAAGAGGACCTGTCAAAGCCACACACTGTATGTACAATATTAATTTTCTGATGGTAAGCTTGGAACTGGTTATACCATATTTTTTTGATACTTACACTTATTACCCAGGATAACTTATCGGCTGAAATGAAGAGCAGCAAGCCCGTCATAGTAGACGCACCACAATCAAGATAAATGCTATGGAAAACTCCTTTTCCACTCTCAGATTTCCTGTTTAGTTAGATTTAACAGAGATTATATTATGGGGCTGAGGCCCTGACTTGGTTAATCAAAGGAAGTCTTCTTGTCTTATGATATTGTTTTCCTTCATTCAGCCTAGTTTCCATCAGTGGTAACATAAAAATGAATCTTTACAAAGTATGGCTTTTGGATCCTTCAGTTAATTCTTTGCTGAAGTTTGTCTGTGCTGTTTCTACTGCCATGTTGAGACTTGAGCTACACTAAATAATCATTTAGATTGTTCCAAATTGACTGACTCTATTCACCAATAAATAGTATTTAATTTATACACTACAACAGTTAACACATATGTTCATCCTGTATTACTAAGTTCTCCAACACTATCGCCGGTTACTAAAAATGGTAAAACAATAAAAAATAAAAGTTAATTGACATTTAATCATAAGGCAACCTTTATACAAACATACAGTTCATTTAAACAAATGGAATAGGGACAGGCTACAAAGGACATATTAAAAAAGTAGAGTGTGTTATAAATTGTTATTGTACTGTACCAAAATGTTATTTCATACAATGCAGACTTTTGCTTTGTTATTTTGTAGCAATTCATTCCAATTCTTTAGGCAATTAACACAAGTATATTTATTTTTAAAACATATAAATGAATATTATTCCTACAGACAGACATCTGAAGGATTAATCAAACAAGTGAAGTACTATTATGATGACCTAACAGGCAGTTTTCTCCACTGTAATCTATGAGATTTCATATTTTTCTGAGTCATTTCCTTACAATGTTGATTACCCACATAGTTCGCCAAATATTTTTTGACAAATAGCTTAATTTTGTGCTCAAAGTTGCAAAAGTTGCTTAGTTTATAAAACGGGGTTGTGACGTATGCCCATAGTAATTCCATAAGTTATACGTCATTCTCCAAGCTTGCGCAGGCGCACTGTCACGCCTCGTTAAGTCAGAGCATCAAACCAATAAACATCGTTGTGAGCTAGATAACCAATTAATCATGTAACTTACTTAGAACTTACAGTAGGTATGTCTCTCTGTGTCTGAATGTTGATTTGTCTTTCTAGTTTAGTTAGCTAAGTTAGCCAGGTGTAGTTAGCTAGCATAGTTATTTCAGAAAGTTAGCTAACAGAGGGTCTTCATTTTATTTTTTAGTTTCCTCCTCTTGATTTAGTGTGCTGTTCATTTTCATTATGTCATTTGTGCGTGCGGTGTTGGAGGAAAGATGACAGAAAACGTCAGAACTGTCTTATATACAGTCTGCAACATGCATTTTACTGACGGTCGTTTTACCAATGCATCGGCGGAGGAAATGGTATCATAAGTCTTTACATACAGTTCAACAGAGTAATAGACCCCCCACACCCCCGCGGTAAAGTAAGTGCACCCAGCAGCGCTGCCAGGAATTTTCTTCACTGGGACAGGGAGGCTACAGTTATTGGGAGACTGGGGTGCTGCTGACTAATCTGTTGTTAGTCTGCTAAAAGGGGCGGGGACAGTGATTTAATATGAATATCTTGCTAAATGTTTCCCTGCACTGATTAAATGTTGATAAAATGTAGGCTAACACTAGTCTGTAGCTAGCTAGCTTATTTCACTATGGACATTAAGCCAAAAGGTTAATACCACTCACAGACTAAAGGCTACCCACCTTTCTTGGTGAAAACCTGGGTTACAGATTGACATCCTTTCCTTTGTCTTTTCTCTCTTTCCTTTTTTGAAAACCAGATTTTGGTTTACTAGGCAACATTGTGATCACTGTATTTCTGGGCATCTACTGACTGTAACTAAACACCTCACTGATCAGTGCGCTAAGGCAGGACCAAACCATTTCAGGCAGATACAGGGGGTGGTTGGTCAATGTGGATGTTTACTTTTTGGTCAATGGGGAACTTTTATTGCTATAAACAAAGAGATCATTAATTTTATTATATTTGAAATATATATACTCAATGATAATGGTTTATATAAGGCCCTTGGAATTGTCCTAAATTTTCGGCGCCCCTGAGCGCACCATAAAACGTAGTGGGAGTTATCATGTGCAGTGCGTGACAGGACTATCGACTGTATGATTGATAACAGCTGATACGCGCACATGGTAATGTATTACGTCCGACTATTAACCACACCCCCATTCTCTGTTTGAGAAAGAACGTTAACCGAAAACGGCAGTTAAAACCATGGTTAAAACTGGCTGGAGGGGGCTTTAATGCCGCGTTCGAGACCGGTCGGAACTAGTGATGGCAAGTTCGAATCTTTTGACAGACTCGTTCATTGAAATCTCGTTCATTAAAATGGACTAATCTTTTTTTGAGTCATTTCGTTCATTTGAACTAGGCTGGTTATTGCGGCGCTGCAGCCCTCTAGTGGGCGATTAAAAAACAGCGCCGTTCTCAAACACAGAAAGCTGCCTGGCTTGTTTTATTTGACAAAGTATAATGCACAAATTCACCTCTTGATTACTGTATATCATCATTATAGAAACCCCCCTGGGCCCCCCTGGGCCCACAACCAAATTCAAACCATGTAAAAACCACAGAAATATGTTGTCAATATGTAATCACCACTACTCCGGCTAAATCCTTCCATTTTCACAATCTTTCCTGATTATACAACCAGACCAGCCATACAAAGGCTTATGTATATAATTACTATCATTATCTCTAAAATGCTCATTCATACAGTAGCCTAACGTGCCTATCCATGAGTAAAATATTAATATCAGATTTGCAGTAAATATATTGAAGTAATAAGCTTGATACACTATCTGAATAAACACACTCTTATTAAAATTCAACCAATTTAATAATAATCTGGATCAAGTTCATAAATAACTCCAGCACAGAGAGAGGAACAGAGAAATAAACACATATAAACGCAGCAGTAAGGCAGGTCTGGACGCAGAATGGGCCACATCAGGTCCAGATTCTGCAGACAGAGAAACAAACATGAGCACATCACTCTCAAACACTGCAGGTTGTTCACCAGTCAGGAGCTGTGAAACAACAGCACGGCTCATGTTGGTAAATAAAAAGTAAAAGTTACGTTGCGTTCTCTGCTCTGGCGGACCTGGATCAGCTGTTAGCTGTTTACAGGGCTAATGCTAACGTTGCTATGTGGCTGTGTTTTAATGTTTTAATGACCGGGTCTGTTTGTTTTGGAGAGGAGACTACCTCTGAGGTAATTCGGCTCCTGGTAGAACTCTGTCAGGGCTCTGAAGAGGAGCGGACCCAGAACAACTCTCATCAGCTGTTAGCTGTAATGTTAAACACTAGCAGGACTAAAGTTACTGCGGCTGTGCTAAAACTATAACTTAGCACAACATCACTGTGATGTAATAATGTTATGCTTTATTAAATGTCACAAAATAGATATTAGATATATGTTAGTCCAGTGACTGTTACCTGACAGCCGACCTGCTTCTCATTCTCCGGCGCTGGCAGTAACTCAGCCTGCCGAATGAACGAAAGACTGAGGAGGACCCATGTGAGCAGTGAACGAGTAGTTCATTCCTGCTCCACAGTAGCTGTCACGTGACAAATGAACGACTCAGACCTAGAGACCCACAGTTGAGAGTCGTGAACTAATCACTTCTGTTTCCTGTGCTGCCTGCTTACCGCAGCCCTGTAGCCGAGCTGTCACGTGACAAATGAACGACTCAAACAGACCCACAGTTGAGAGTCCTGAACTAATCAATTCTATTTCCTGTGCTGACGGAGCCCTGGCAGCTGCCGTGTGACGAGTGAACGTAAGAGTCAAAGATCCTTCACGCATGCGTGAAAATGAACGAATCACTCACTGAGACAATCCGTTCCTCGCGAGTCATACACACGATTAGGTCTTATGAACAAAACGTTCTTTGAACGACACAACACTAGTCGGAACTGGTATTTTTCACAGTTGAAACTTCTGATTTCCGACCTCAAAGAGTTTCAGGTGCATGTTGGTGCATGACGCCGAAAGTGAACGAAAAACCATGGCTGACCGTGACAAGCAGGGTTTTAGGTGTTACTTCAAAGGATGGCAGTTTAACTGCAACAACTGACATAAATAGCCTATACTTACTAGTTAATTGTGTGCCCCTCTAGCTACATCAGTTGGTAACCCTCAAGTCAGTCAGTGTTGTAGATTACACTTCCTAATGTTTTGGCATTTTTAACAATAACTTTTATGCAGAGAAGATGACTTTATGAGAGTCTTTACTGTAGCCAGCTACCTAATAGACCTAACATATTTCTACATCAATGTACATGCAGAACAGGTTTTACTATATGATCGTATATGTATTATTTTAATTTATACATGTAAATATACTTTTTGTTTCCTTTTAGTTTATGGTTTACCATTTACAGTGTATGCTTCCATGGGAGCTGCCATTGTTTTGTGACGTCATTCAGATGCTACTCGTGAAGTCGGGGTACATATTTTTTCTCCGAGTTCACAAGTAGGAAATCCGACTTCAAGTGGCGTTCCAGGATAGTTTTTCTAGTTGGAGACATAGGTTGGAGATCGGAAATTTCCTAGTTCCAAGTTGCCTGGAACGCAGCATGAGATACACCCTTGACAGACTGGTCCATAACACAGCGTCACAAATCTGAGCTCCAATTCAGCGGAAGTCGTCAAATGACGTAAGAGGCGTCGTGCACCCCTTCGAGCGGGACTGCTGATCACTGAAACAACAGCAAGTGTTGCGACTTTCTCAAATAGCTGCTTTTTGTGACTAACTTAGATATGGCCCTTCAGACTGAAGCGGATTTACCACCTGGCCTTGCATGTTTTAAAGTAAGTATTGTGTAACCTTATTTATTTTGAAATGTAACTTACCTGTTTTGTTAACATTATGGTTAGGAGCTTTTGGCTAAATGAAAACAGCTAACAGTTAACGTTTGCTAACTACATCCATTGTTAACCGTTAGTCCATTAACTAACGAGTGACATTACAACTTTAAAGCAATTTAGATAAGAAATACTTATAAAAGAACTATTGATCCAGGGTATTTTATCTACAGTTGACTGATAAGATGACCTAATGTAATATAGCTAACGTTAATCGTTAGCTAACTTACAATGCAACCAACACATTTGCGATTAAACTTACGTTAACCCTATACACATTAAGAAAGTTTTTTTTACGTTAACGTTACAGTAAACGTTAACGTTATTTGATCATAATATAAAATGTCACATTGGAACCCTGTCCATTCAGGATCTCTAACAATAACATTACGTCAAACGAAACAACCTAAAACATATTAATTCTAACGTCAATTACATGCTAAAACAATTAACGTTACCCAACGGTAACTTAACATTTACGTTACCAGAACATACTTAGATAGGTGTTCATGTCAGGTAACGACAATTTATGGGGTTCTGTAACATTACAGCATCATGACGATGAACCAAATGCGACGCGATGTTGTTGTGAAACACAAACATACGACCACATGTCAAAGGATGTAGGTTAGCTGGCTGTTTGAAGTGACACCATCCAGTTACCCTAAATCACCGTGGAGGTCTTGTGTAGCAGTCACCAGAGATGCTTACAAGTCTTTGAGCAAGAGTCCAAGTCAAGTCTCAAGTCACATTATAATGAATGTTGTATCACCTGCTGCGTCAATCCAGGCTGCTTAAAACACTGCATAGCTATGAGGGATTCTGTAACTGTAACCTGTTCTTCACTTACAGAGCACAACCATGTAATGTGCAATGCATGACATCTTATAAACTACTGTAAGTCAGCACACCCCAGACCCTCAAACCAGTGTAACGTTAACTAAATAAAACTGTAATGTTACATGATCAACAATAAACCTGTAACCTGTTTGCAGCCAATGTTAATAATTAACGTAATGGCATCCAGCTCAACATAAATTATTACATTAATCGACTACCATAAGTTTGGCAAGCAAACAAACGCTCATTCATATTTTCATAACGAACGACAGTTTGTGTTAACCTCCGTCCGATAGGTCGTAGCTAAAGCAAGAAGCAAGCTAACGTTAGATGGCAAATGCTGAGCTAAACCTGTTTACTAAACTCAGGTTACTAACCTATTTTGCATTCAGCACTTCTTTGTTTGGGCATTGTTGTATGAAGTTTTAAAGCTAAAGGTATATGATGCAGCTGCCGGAGTTTGTTGTCCTCTCTCACGTGTGGCCGCGGCAGATACGTAGTATGTGTTACGTTAGTACTTAAAGGTAAGGAAGGGAGGGGAATAAGAGCAAGCTCATCAGATGCTTCCTAAAAATAAACATTGTTCACAAGTCCCGCACCTCGAGGCCCAGTCAAGTCTGAAGTCTTTTGAGGACGAGTCTCAAGTCAAGTCTGAAGTCACTGTGTGTGAGACTTAAGTGCGACTCGGGTCTGAGTCTCAAACTGGAGTCCCCATCTCTGGCATTGACTGAGAAGTTGTGATGTAACAATGCAGTTACTCTAGTAAGAAAGTTAATGCTAGATTAGTTTCCCCCCAAAAATTATTCACTGTCTGTATTTCTTTCTTCTAACCTGCCATGTTTTCAACACATGTAATATGTATTATTGCCAGGCTGCTTTATTTTCTGCCAGACAACTAATAGTTGAGTTGTTTCATGAGTATTATCTTTTTTTTCACTGTGGTTTTTCTCTTCTGCAGAATGTTGATACCCTGCTTCGGTGTCCCATTTGCTTCGACTTCCTCAATATTTCAATGATGACTAAATGCTCTCACAATTGTAAGTAAGAAGTGGATCAGCTTTTAGAGTAAAGTTAGCTATGATACTGTTATCAGTATATAAAGGCAAAACCATTGAGTGACTTGTACAAACCAGCAAAATGCAGCTTTGTTTCTTCTGATAAAATAAAAATGGTAAAGCAGTAATAATAATAACGGATGTATTTTCAAATGAGCGGTGTGTTTTTGCAGTATGTGTGCTTATACAAATATAGCTTGAATTGTTATTAGTTAGTTAGCAAGTTATTTTTGGTGGATGCGTCTTTGCCTGCACCTATTTATGTAAGCTTTGCTTGCTTCTTGTCATCTGAATTTTGCTTTGTGTTGTACATTAGTGCACGATCATCCTGATTGAGCCACACTAGACCCTGTTAATATGTGTGTTAAATACAGTTGTGCACTAAAGAGAACATTTTTTCCCATGTATTGTTCAGTCCAAATTGTCACTGAATAGCAGATGGTTAGATTAAGTATAACATAGACTTTGTTTGCATTTCATTTAACAGTTTGCTCCTTGTGCATCAGAAAATTTCTTTCCTATAAGTTGCAGTGTCCAGTTTGCAATACAGTAAGTATGAACTTAACTTATCAGCATTCATAATTATGCCCCCAAGTTGTATTTATATAATCATCTGGGTCATTACCTTAATAAAGATGAAGCAGTGCAGGTCATCTGTCTTTCATTGTATTAATTTGATAAAGCAGGCAGGTTTCCTTGACATCTCGTTTCTTCTTTCTTTCTTTTTTGTTTAGCAAGCAACAGAACAAGACCTAAGAAATAACCGTTTATTGGATGACTTGGTCGTAAACTTTCAAGCTGCAAGGTAGTCCGTACAACACGTTATACATGGTTACCATTTAAGTGTCTTGTGTCTGAACTTTCTCTGTAAATGGACCAAAGTGCACCCTGCATCACCACTAAATGTTTTCCAAAACTGTATCTGGTGAATGATAAAATTTTTTAAATATACTGCATAGCATGATTCAACATACATATTGAACAAACTGCTGCTTTGGTATTGGTTTTGAATTCAGAGTACTGCTATCAGTGATACAGTGAAAATTTGAAAAAGAATACCACCCTAACCACATTTGTCCACATAAACAGGTCAGCAAACAGAGTCACTGTGTTACTGGCTTGTTGGCCCTTAATGAGCAATGGCACTTTTATTTATCATCTAACATTAAATCCAAGTATTTTTTGGGGGTATTTTGCACACCAGCACAGATGGCGGACAAGGATCTTAGCAATTTATTTTGATACAGCCATCTTCTGCATACAAAAGCTTGTATAGTTAGTGGGATTATTTTAAAATATTTTTGCCCTGAGAGATAGACCAGCAGAATAATGAAAACTGCAAAATTTGAAGACAAGGACATAAGACGCCACAATCCACATACATTAGCACAGGTGCACCACGTTAGAATCTCACCAATTTGTATCGTTATATGTTTATAAGAACTGAAGATAAAAACAATGACTGTGGAGATTTCAGGGGATGCCATTGTTATTGACAAGATTACAGTATGTCCACAAGGGAACCAATGTCAGTTTACTTCAATTTACCAGCATTAGAGAAACACTTAGAATTGCCTCCCAGTAATCTACCTCTGATTTAAGGATTTTCTGTAAATCAAATAGGGTTTTTAATGGGCTGAAGTTATTCAATGTTCTTCTTGTATTATACTTCTGTGTGTATTGTGTAGCTTTAGGGATGATCTTTTTTCATTACAGCATAATGTAGGCATAGGTAGCACTACCCAGAGCTGGTCTTAAGGAAATTTGTTGGTACTTTAAATGTAGTTGTTTTTTCTTCTCCAGTGACACTTATCACAGTGTAGGAAAACATTTCCTTTAAGTTGAGTGTCCTGTTATTAGTAGCGCTGGCCACATGCTTGCATTCATTCGTTGTCTTAGGCAGACTGGTACAAGAGAAATAAACTGATATGTCCACATACAGTAGGTCACCACATCCCCTGGGATTATTTATCCCTGTTGGTTTACTGTCATACACCTCTTTTTTCATCCTGTAATCCCCACTGTATCCTTGTTATTCTTTTTTCTGTTTCAGTAATAACAATACAAATATCAAACACACATAACAGAACACACATCTTTTTGGGGAGGCACATTTTGCTTGCTCTAGCTATTTCATAAATAGAAAACTGTCTATGAACGTGAGTTTTATGAATCATCCATGTGTAGGGTGCATTATGTGTAGCATCTGTTGAGGAAAGATAGATTAAAATAAGCCTGCTAGACTAAATCTAGCTCATTTTCTGTTCATCAGTTAGCATTGTATCCTGGGGGGGGGGGGACAAACAACTGAAATCATCAGAATTGTTTGTTCAGTGTCTGGACCAGTGTCAATATAATGTCTGAGTGCTGTTAATGGTCAGTAAGCCATGATGTTTCTACCTTCCATCAATCACAATGTTATCAACACTCTGAAAGGTCTCCCTTCAAGCTGTAGATCTTCTGATTGTCATCACTGTTACGAATGAGTGCCTTCTACTGAAGCTCTTTTCCCCCGTTTTTTAATTTCCTGTTGTCTAGCATTGAGCGTCTGAAAAATGGGATTCCTTGATAGGTGACTCTGTCATAAAACGGCGTTGTTATCTAGCAATAGACTTGTCTCAAACAACTTCTTTAGTTTTGGATTAGTTCCTTTTGCTCTGAAACAAATACCCTACATGGGCCCGTGTAAAAACGTGTCTGCATGGAGTCACACAGGGGAGAATATTTAAATTGCTCTGGCATCTGTCCATGTGGTTGCTACATTTTCTGCTTTAGCGAGTGTTTGTGAGAGGCTTCTCTCATTGGGCCACTCACATTTCTCACTGTGAAACTGGAAAATGCTGCACTGGCGTCTGTTGGCTGATGGCACTAATTTACTGCCATTAAACTAGAGGCCTATTCGTCTAGCAAACCATTAGCTGTTATCACAGTGCCACACATTTATGTTATCGCAGTAACAAGCGATCTTAGTCTCCTCTCACTCTGTAAACTCATTTACTTAGGTAGAAGTGGTGCTTTTACCGTGAGACATCAGACACTGCTATTGAATCGATTTTATCACTAAGGGCACAATGCCCTTTTTTGTTTTGGATACGGTACAACTTGTTTCCTTGAAATTAGCAATTTTTGTTTGTAGTGTGCCGGTGTCTTCATACCTCTGCCGTTTTTTTTATAAAATTTCCATTAATTTTAAATACAAAAAGCTTAAAACCTGTTTGATTTACATTTCCCATTGTGATTAAAGTACTCTATGTTGAAATTCCATTTTAGGGTTAAATAATTATTGAGATATTGTATATTGTGAGAAGGTGGTCATATAATCCTATTATGAAATTGTGTGCCACAGAGGGTGTGACTGTCCAAAGGAGTGTGGTCAACAAACGTCAGCTTTAAAAGTGCTTTAGTAGCTGTCCTCCTTGCACTTAACTGCCACCTCTAATTATAAAAGATTATTCCTCATGTTTTAAAGGGAATCAGTATGATGGAACAATTTAAATTCAATCAGTGGGTATAATTTCAGTAGACGGTATTGACTTGCTTTTGGCTCTTTTGATTACTACAGGTCTAGACAGGGAAGATCATGAGACTTCAAACAAAATGCCTGACCTTCTGCCCTTATCCCCTGATACAGTATCTCATTCAAATAGTGAATGTTGGTGTACTTCTGAAAGTCTAAATTTTTCTTATTATTTTATCTTATATTTTAGATGATTCTTTTTTGTGTCCTGCATCATATATTGTTAGCTGGTAATGTTTAAAACATTGGTTTAGAAGTGTCTAAACTATTTCATTCTTAACCCCCAAAAGACTTGGTTTCTTTATTATCATACCTGAGTCTCCTTCCTCCCTCTGAATAATTAATTGCAGATACAATCAGATTGAACTGTGATGTATATTTAGAGCATTATTTTGAAGAGGATTTATAGAATATGTTTTTATATTATGGTGCAAGTCCTGGAAGAACATGCTACCAATGAAATAGGTACTCGGTTACTGTCTTATCCGTGAAATTGTTTAAAGAGGTGTTTCTTTTTGTTTGTTGCTGGTCAAAAAGGCACTTTTAAGTCACTTGAAATTTAATTACTTTGCTGATCATAAGAGTCCTTTTTATGGTAGTGTTTTTGTCACCAGGAGAAAATATACCCAGCTTCTTGTTCCCACCATTAACAGACCTCAGAGGAACCATGAGTTCACGAACAGAAGAGGTTCAAAAATTGTTCAGTCATTTAGCACTCAGAATAATGATGCCAGAATAAAGTATGGGGTGATGTGTGTTACTAATTTTAAACACATGGTGTACTAAATATGTACTTAATCTCTAAAATACAGTCTGATTCGCTGTGTTCTCCGTGGCAACAGCTAGTTAACTGGTGGGGTAGAGCAGCATCTAAAACCATTTCACATACTAAAGTGATGGGGGAAAGCCTGTTTGCTCAAATGAGGCAGAAACAGTTAAAACTAATGGCTATCCAGATTGTGTTGAGTAACAGTGCAGTTATCATTAAAAGAAAACAATCGGATACAAATTTACAATTAAATATATTTAACCAGAAACCTTACACTTCATAACTCATGGTGATGTAGGTTATTTTTATTGACATTTTGTTATTTTACATGTTATTTTATTTACCCTCTCTAAATATACTACACTTAGATCAAAATAATTTGTTGTAGTTTTAGTGGAATGACCAATCATACCTGGCTGTATGCAGATGAATGGTGGGTGAAGATCACATTTCTTCAAAATCATTCTGTGCGTGCGTGCAAACCTACTCTAATGGGGACAGTAATCACAAATAAGTTTTAGATATGGAAAACAGAACATCACACCATCACACACCTCATTACTTCCATTTTATTGCCAAGTAATGGCCCCAGGTACAATTTGTTTGCTTTCCACATTTCTAAGACTCTAGCCAAAATGTCTACTTTTTCTCACTTTTTTCTATAGAGCGAGATAATTGGGCAGATGCAGTTAATTTCAAAGGGCTCACTTTACTGTCAACAGTATTCCTTGGCACAAACGCTCTTCTCTTCATAATGGACTCAATAGGTGTGTCTCTACATAAATCATATGCTGCACACGTTCTTACTCACGTGCACTTTGCTTTTCTTCTTTTTCCAGGCAGCAGTTGTCAAAAGTAAATTTTGACTCTCCTCCAATATCACCGAAGACCCCGGCTTCCGCTGTCAAATGTAAAACTCCCAGAGATAGGGGCCAGAAGTGTAACAGCTCTGTTTTGAATCACTTTTTCCAGAAGAGGCCTAAAATATCTCCCACTAAAGCAACCAAGCATTGTGTTCAGCTGGAGAAAATACAGACTACATTTACCCCAAATGCAAATGACTTACATTCAGCAACCGCTCAAGTACCAGTGGCTGTGAAGGAAGAGCCGATAGATGTGGAGGAGGCCTCCATCCAGGGTTTGATGTCAGTCAAACAGGAGGACATCGCCTCGTACAATATCAGCACTGGGGTTGAGATAGCGCATTCCTCATCACCATCACAAGAAGTAAAGCCCGTAATCAAAGGTAAAGCTGTGCTACCTGTAGGTTAAGAGTGCCGCGTTGTGAGCTATGTGTTAACTTGTCTGGAAATAGTCACTTGTCTGATGCCAACTATTCAACAAACATAGACAGACAAATACAGCAAATGATGTCATTACATTACATGTACTCATTTGGCAGACGCTTATCCAAAGCGACTTACATTTGAGGAACAGCATACAATCATTAACAGAGGTTAAAATACAGCACGAGATCGACAACTGACAATACATATTAATAAAAGCAGCAATAAATACTAGTGAGCGCTAATGGCACATATTGCATCAATGGGGTAAATACCTAGGGAAAGAAGTAAGAGTTAACAAAAAGTGCAATCAATACAAGATAATTGTAGGGGATAGAAGAAGAGCACAGGAAGTGCATGTTAGATGTTAGGAGTTAGAGGTGTTATAAGAGGAAGTGTTCTCAGAAGAGATGAGTTTTCAAGAGCTTCTTGAAGTTAGAGAGGGACGCCCCTGCTCTGATAGCGTGTGGTAGATCGTTCCACAATCGTGGTGTCACAGATGCGAACAGCCGGGACTGGGATTGCTTTGTGTGAAGCGATGGCAGTTCCAGGCGGAACGTAAACTTGTATTATGGAGTTTAGGTAGATGGGTGTAGACCCAGTAGTTACTCTGTATGCAAGCATTAGTGACTTGAATCTGTTTCTGGAGGCCATGGGTAGCCAGTGGAGGTCACACAGTAATAGAGTGACATGCGTCTTTTGGGCTGATCAAAAACCAGACGCGCTGCTGTGTTCTGGATCATTTGTAGAGGTTTCACCACACAAGCTGGAAGACCTGCTAGAAGGGCATTGCAGTAGTCGAGGCGAGAGGTAACCATGGCCTGTACCAGAAGCTCGGTGGCATACTGAGTGAGGTAGGGCCTGATTTTTCTGATGTTGTATAGAGCAAAGCGGCACGACCAAGAGACAGCAGCAACATGGTCTGAAAAGAACAGTTGGTCAACAGTCATGACACCCAAGTTTCTCACCACCCCGGTTGGAGTGATGGTTGAGGAGCCAATTTGTAGTTTGATGTTATGGTGGATAGATTGCTTGGCTGGAATGACCAAGAGTTGAGTCTTAGAGAGGTTTAGTTGAAGGTGGCAAGCCTTCATCCATGCAGATATGTCAGAGACAGTCTGTGACCCGCGCCGAGACGGTGGGGTCATCTGGCGGGAAGGATCGGTAGAGTTGCGTATCGTCTGCGTAACAGTGGTAAGAGAAGCAATGTGAGCGAATGATTGGCCCCAATGAGGTGGTGTAAATTTAGAAGAGATGGGGCCCTAGTACTGAGCCTTGGGGTACCCCTGTGGAGAGGCAGTGGGAGGAGGATAATTGTCCTTGCCGCAAAACATTGTAGGAACGCCCTGAGAGGTAGGATTCTAACCACAGGAGTGCTTTACCCGAGATGCCCATTGCTGAGAGTGCCAAAGGCAGCTGATAGGTGAAGCAGGATAAGAACCGAGGTTTGGGCTGCAGCTTCAGCTGACCTTAGGGCTTCTGTTACAGACAAAAGAGCCGTTTCAGTAGAATGGCCACTCTTAAAACCAGACTGATATGGATCTAGGAGGTCATTCCGTGAAACGAATTCTGAGACCTGTTTGAATACTGCCCGTTTGATAGTTTTGGATAAAAATGGTAGAAGATAAACTGGACGATAGTTCTCAACTTGAGTTGGGTCGAGTGAGGGCTTTTTAAGCAAGGGTGTAACCCGACCCCTTTTGAAAGTGGTCGGGAAGGTTCCTGAAGACAGAGAGGTATTTTATCACGAGTGATTGCTGGGACCAGAGTAGAAAATCTGGCTTGGAGGAGATTCGTAGGAATCGGGTCCAGTGAGCGTGTAATGGGACGGCTATGGGTCAGGAGTTCTGATACTTCGTTCTCCGTGAGAGGAGTAAACGAGGAGAGTGAAGTGCCATTGTCCTGGGAGGACAGAGGATGATGTAGTAGGACTGCTACATATTAGCCTTGGTGTTGAGCCTTTTGCACCATATCCCGCGGGAGATGGAGGGAGACATTGACAAGTTATAGCCACCACTTTTCCTGTGAAGAAGGCAGCAAAGGTATCAGCAGACAAGTTTGTGGGTGGAGGAGGATTTAGTAGCATTTTAAAAGTGGAAAATAATTTCTTTGAGTCAGTGGCACTGCGTATTCTGTCATTATAGAACGCAGATTTGGCAGCACTGATGCTTGTTGAGAAGGAGGATAGGAGCAGTTGGTAGCCCTTTAGGTCGGCAGGGTCTCTGGTTTTTCACAATTTTTTTTAAGCGGCTCTGAGATTAGTACGGAGCCCACAGATGGTATCAGTTAGCTATGGGTGGGACTGGTTCGGGCGGGCAGGATTGGTGGATAGAGGACACAGGCTATCCATGCATGGGCTCAGCGTAGAGCAAAGAGATTGTGTGGCATCATTGACCTCGAATGAGGAGAATGTGTTGAGGGAAGGTAGAGCGGATGCCACCACTGAGGCAAAGTGAGTGGGAGACAGGTTACGGAGGTCGCGGCGGTGTGAGACCAATGGTGCTGGAACAATGGGCTGTTCCTGTAGGCATACCGTGAACTAAATGAAAAAGTGGTCAGACGTGTAGATGAGTAACAGTTAGGCAATCGGTGGGACAGTTTTGGACAAGAACAAGGTCAAGTACAGCTTTGTGGGTCGGAGGGCTGAGAAAACTAAATATATGATTCAAACACTCTACACCAAAGACGGACTTTAGTCAACCTACTTTGGTGTTATTGTTGTTTGTCCTCTGCAGCCCACTTACAAAATCTGCCGCTTCTTGTGTCCCTAAACCAACCAGAGTGATGTCCCCGAAGGTTGCAGGATGATACTAATAAAAAAAAAAAAAAAATCAAATTGCAGATTCTTTACTTTAATTTTGCTTACTACAATCCATTACACTAAACAATAAGTCACCTTTGTTTTTGTGTAAATACCATTTTTGAGTAAAAGCCATTTTTGTGTCATACGGTGATGGAGTTGATGAGTATGGGAACTTATTTGAAAACTCCCTGCTGGTACATTCAAGGACGATCTGATTATGAAGTCTTGACCTTCTTTTTTGTCTTCATAGTTTTCTTTCTGAAAGGATATGAAAATGTATGGTAAACATTTGACATTAGTTTGTGGTACCAAATGTAGTTATTGGGGGTAAAAAAAACACTGCTGTGGCTCTTAAGCAAAATAATTTTTTTTTTTGCTGTTGGTCAGTAGGTGTTGCTATTTTTAGATTGTGGGTATCTTAGGATCTGCTCTTCATTTGTTTAATTTCAATCATAAATGCTGCTTTTGTGGTGTGATATTAAATAAACCGTTTCTTAGTGCTGCTAGGGGAGTGGTTTGGATTTGCAGTGGAATATAATGTGATTCATAGCACCAAAATGTGGTTTATTGTTTTTAATTAAGATGTATATTTAATAATATCTTCTTGTGTGTGTGTGTTTTTGCAGTGGAGTGCCCTGTGTGTTCTGTAAGCGTGCCACAGCAGTTTATCAACAAGCATCTGGACATGTGTCTGACCAGAGGAGAGAAGAAGGAAAGCTTGAGGAGGTAAAATATCACTTAAATGAAGGCTCTCTGCTGTTGTTTGCTTAAGCTGTAATGCTCTATAGGGAGGTGGGATATATGTTAAAGACACTTGTTAGATTTTTGTACCGATGTGCATTGATCTTTGTCACATTGTCTTTTTCTGATACTATTACTGAGGAGACGCTGTGGCTTTCAAATATAATTAAAAATGTTGGCATAAGCAAAGGTTTTAGGAGCAGTTATGTGTTAACATCTGTGGCTGGGATGTACTGTAAATGTCCTGGATCTACACTAGATATCCCTTTTGGTATGTCGAGATTAAACTTTTCAGAACAAGTGTACTAACAAGTGTATACTTCAAGGAAATGTAATATAAAAATGTAAACATTAAAATTATCATAACTGCAGATTTCGACAGTTAACATTGTAGGATCAGCAGAAAAAGTGCACATATTAAGTCGATTATCTGCTCTTCCTCTAAGAAGATAGTTTTCACTGAAAGTGACTGTATTTTTATTTCTGGATGAAGTTGGGTGGAGGAAAATGATTTATTTCTATCTTTGAAACTTGTAGACTTGTAAACTAAAGCTAAAAGTGTAAGTTTTGTTTGCTTAAAATGGGGGAACTGCTGCTATTATTGTAATTGTTGCAATTGATCATGTCTGTCAGGGGAAAATTTATCACTAGAAGTGGTGATTGTGGTGGTGGTGGTATAAGTGGTGATTATTCTAACCAAATTTTTTTCTGTATTTCTCATGCAAATTACCATCTAAAATATTTTTTACATGAATATAAAGTAATGAAACAGACAACTTTGCAATTAACTAATTTAAACGTGGGCCTCTCATGCTCCAAGACCTGTCTGAATGGCCAGGGTGAAAGAATTACACTCCACTCACATAACCTGCCTGCTGCTGTGAGAGAGCGGTGACGATAATTAGGCACTGTAAAAGTCCCTAAACGGCAGCAGAGCAGAACAGGAGGGCAAGATAACTCACTGAGCCATGACGATGTGAGTACAGTATAGGAAGATATTACATGGCGCGCACGTGCGCACACACACAGGGAGCTATTAGGAAAAGCAGGCAGGGATGGTTGTCACTGGCAGTCCCAAAACCTCGTAAAAATAAGAAGAGAGCCTAAGCATGTGACGGCTTGCAAAAAAATGAACACTGTAGATTGTAGTGGTCAACCAGGGTGGGCTTTTCATTGGCCAGTGCCGATATCTAAGCCCTGCTAGTAATAGGTTACACTTTCAAGCAAATTTTTTAAGTAAATTGTACTTGTCAGAGTAGTTTTAATGCATCATACTTTTACTCTTATTTGAGTAAATCTTTATATAAAAATCATTACTTTTACTCCGTTTCATTTGGATACAATAATAGGGCTACTTTTCTTTATGTATTTTATTTTATGGCCCAGTTACTGTCTGTGCCGCTGTGATATGACGTAAAACACCGTCCAGCACAGCACATGCGTAAAGTTTGGACATTTGACGCTGCTCGGCTCCGTTCACTGGTCACGGCTAATTTAAGCTGATTAAAACTAGCCCGTTCCGGTGTCCATTAGTGTGTGTATTTGATATTATCCAGTAATGGTTTTAGATTAGAGCTGCTGTCATATAGGAAAAATATGATAACATTTAGAAAAGACGACGATGACTGAGGAAATTTGTGCTCCAAACTAACTTTTTCCACCACTTTCCTAAAACATCGTTGCACAGCAGCCCCACTGAAGTATCTGCCTGCAGATGTGTCTGCTGACATTTATTGCTTATTGGCTTTGTGAGTGCAGGCATCGCTGATTATCTAAATTATGTCCCAAGCGTTTTCATCCATATAAGTGGTTGCTCACTGTAAGCGGTTTGTACTGTACCATCAATCTTGCTACATAACTTGCTGAAGTGGACTGGGTCTGTGACATAATTTCAGAGCCTGATCACTGTGAGTGGCTTTTAAACATAGCTTGGATGAGTAATGACCTACGCAGCAAATATGAGGTTCTGGTAACGATTGGTCACATTTATGTAGCAGTGCAAAATGCTTAATCTGGAGTCGACCTTAAAGTGATAATGAAGAATTGCAGATGTTTCAGTATTTTATTTAATATTAATATCAGGCAAAGTCAAGTAATATCTGGTGATTACTGAAAAAAAACTGTTCACATGTCTGTTGCAGCTCCCTTGGCAAGGCGAGGCGTCCAATGGGGAAGCTTGTGTACAACCTGCTTTCCCTGCAGGAGCTGAAGAGGAGGCTGAAGGAATGCCACCTCTCAGTGCTGGGTTCTCGAGACCAGCTGATCAAAAGACACCGGGAGTTTGTCCACGTATACAATGCTCAGTGTGATTCTCTAAACCCAAAATCAGGTGAGGGCATTTGGCCTTTTATATACTGTAAGGGTAATACTGTATTTTTGCAGTCATGAGCGAATAGTTTACTAATCTCACTTGTCGTGCTCTACTGCTTTTTGTTTTAACGAAGTGTCCGCATCACTGGAGCCAATTTAAACAAATTTGATTATAAAAACTAAAATACAGGGCCAGTAGAAAGTAAGTTGGGACAGTTGAACTAGCAACTCACTGGCCCGAACATTATTGTTTAAAAAAAATAAATCAGAAACTCAACATCCTGCAGTTGCTTTTACAGCTCATGTCGAGCACCTCTGTCCAATCCAGATTTGTAGTTACATGATGAGTGGTTGTCAAATGTTATTTCTCTAATCCCATCCCAAACATGATGTTCATTGAGTAAATTATGGTCCTATTTAGGGGGAAATGGACTTTTTATAATTTTAACTGTGATTACATTTTAGTTTAGTTTTTTATATCCAGGATATATTTAATAACCGATTAAACATTTTAACAGAATAACATAACTTATAAGTCTTTGGTTTTGTTGTAACACTGAAATAAATAACTTTATTGTAACTGTAAATAATTTTTGGAAGGAGGGACAGTAAAACTTGTCTTCTGGCCAGCAAGTTTCAAACCCACTTGCCCAGTGGGTCCAGTTGCAAAAAAGTTGAGCCTTGAAATATTTTATGTGTTCGATAGAAATTCGTGTATCAGGCAATATGTGTAATCTCAAGAGTAATACAGTTTTCTCTTTCATTCATCAACAGCTGAAGATATTGCCAAAGAGCTGGAGGCCAATGAGAAGATCAGGAATCAGCTGCAGGGGAAAGCCAAACCTGTGCGTACTAAATGCATGTCATGATATGTCATGTCATGATCACTAAATGCATATGTCAAGGGCTTTAATTGTATTTTTATTTTTTATTTTTAAATGTACCCTGTGGGTTATTTTTACTACTAGTGGTGTTGTAGAATAAATGTTTATTGACAGCTTGTTGGCTATATTGTCCATAAAAGGTGGGAGATGGGTAGAAATGCATTCATTGCGTTTGTTAGGGCTTAAGGATGGAGTCCATTTTGTGGAGAAACATTGGTCCGGGAAAAAGTTATAAATGAAACCCATTTCCCATTACAGTAGGAAAATTGTTTGCTGGCTTAAACCATCCTTATATAGGGCTTTTCAAATATTCTCATGTTTTTTCATTGATTGTTAATGCTAATGTAGATGTGTATGTCAATTCAAATCTCTTGCAGGTCATGGTTTTCTCAAAGAGTCTGTCTGAGAAGGAAATTGATGAGATGCATTCAAATTACAGTAAGTGATTTCACTATCAAGTTGTTTACACCTTAGGGGTTTGACTTACGAAGCTGACAGCTAACAATCTGTGCCAACAAAAGTCAACTGAAGAAACTGTTTTGCATAACCTCACATCTTTTGTTAAAATGTACACTTGAGTACAGTATAAGGACTTGGCAAATGGCCAAAATGCACATGCTGTCACCCATTTGTAGTTAAAAATAAAAAAAAAAGGAGAAAAAAAACAACTTTGCAGAAACATAAACAAACTAGCTAGCCATTTTCGACCACTGTTGAAAGATATAATACACAAAGTGCAATATAATGTCACAATTCCTTTGCCTTGTGTACAAAAACAACACTAGGTGCCAGTCGGGGAATAAAAGGTACATTTAGTTTCAGTCCCGAAGGTTGTTTTTGGAAGAAAAGATACATTTTATGATAATCATTTTGTTTGGTTAAAAAAGTTTCAATATCGTAGATATACATTTACCTCAAAGACAACAAAAGCTATGATGCTATGGTAGCCAAATTACCAAACTGTCTCCAAGACTGTGGTTCAGTTACAAAAATGTATGAATGCTATCTTGTTTAATAAAAGACCTAAGTGTAGAGCTGCATGAAAACACATCAGACAAAAAGGAATGCAAAATGTTGTCATCTCAGAAGGATGGACCACTTCTTTCCAAAATATGAATTTGCTTTTGAAGTGTAGTTGAAGTGACCAATTTTGTGTTCACTGAAATGCTTTCAAATGTTGCTTTCTCCTTTTTTACTGTCACCATATATTTCATAGCACTTAAAAATGAATATTGGAAAACACTTTGGGGTGATTTTTCTTTCTACTGGAGTGGTACTCATTACGACTCTTGTAAGAGTTAGGATGGCTCATCTATCGAGTGTGCCTGTTGGCGTGAGCGTGCAGCTATGAATCATTTTGGGTCCGCCGCCACCACCAAAGAAGAGGCTAGTCAGTGTAAGCGGGGAATGCAGCACATTCTCTTCCCTCTTTTATTGTTTTGGGCAATTTTTTGTTTGTTTTTTTACATTAAAGAGAATTCTTCTGACGTTAGCAGAGGCTGTCTTTATTTCAGGTGTGACGACCCACCACTGCTTTGAAATCCTGTTCATTGTTTTGAATTTTTAGTTAGAATACCTTAAATAATCAACTGGGCATTATTTAGAAACTCCTTCTCAATTATACAGAACAGTGCAGGAGACAGGCTTGGGCTACAAAGGTTTTGGGAGGATGATCTCAGAAGTAGGTTTCTCATAAAATGCTTAAAGATTAAATACACTTTGGGCATCTTAAAAACAGCCTGTGATGACAGTTTCCCAAAGCCAGACCATAGGCTTTTGGACCAATCAGTGTGTTTGTTTGTTGTTGCAGCTACTTCAGTAGGAAAATCCAATGTGTGGATCCTGCTTGAGAGGTAATCCATCATAGAAACTGCATGGCATTATTTTTGTCAAAATTGAGTAATTGTTACATGGTAATGCAGCGGAGAAGTAAAGACCGTTCTTCTGGAAACTGAAAAGGCAGTATTCACAATATTGCATACTTTTGTGTCTCCAACAAAATCATTACGATTTTGCATATTCACTGTGTCACCCAGACATAAACTCAATCTTACTTTACTCAGTCTAGGAGACCTCCATTTGGAGCCAGCCTCATTCCTTCCAAAACACATTACCAGCAACAGAAACAAGCAGAATTGCGATCTCTTCAGTGATCATTTAGCAGCAAGGGGCGGAATGAAAATGTAAAACTAATGAGGTGACTTGTTTTTTGTGTCAGTGTAAATTATTCCGAAAATACCGTTTTTACTGTGACTTGGCTATTTCAGTGTCTTGTTTTTACATTCGCTGTGAACTCACTCAGATGCATACGGATGCACAGAAATCTTGAAAACTGGTCTGTGCAAGAACAGCAGCATTAGAGAACATTATCCAAAGTCATGTTGTCATGGTTGAACGAGATGAAAATCTTGTTGGAAATAACTCTGGAGAGCTAACTTCGAAAGTGGTTGAAAAATGGATGTGACTCATGGGGGGTGGGTTCTATAAATAGCTGCTCTGCGATGATAACCTCTTGATTTATCAGAGGAGGATGTGGATGACTCACTCTGCCAGCATGGGGAATTGTGAATGAGCAGACAGAAAGCAGCACACCTTTCTTCTTTCAGTTCTTTTAATGTTAAGTCAATCAGTAGCTGGTTATTCAGAAAACATTCTTGTAACCCAGAAAAGCTACAAGGAAAAACATGGAAATTCTGCTTCGTGAAACCAAACCCTGAGAAATTTGATCTGTATGTTTGCTTCCCAGTTGTGGTCATTGAAAATAAATTACATTGTGACTGGAGAAACACCCTCAATGCCCCTGTTATAGTTTATCACAGTTGGAACGTTAACTCAGTTTAACCTACACATCGAAATAACCTTTTTAGTAGTTATAACAAAGGTGACTGTAGTTATACCCAAACTGTTGGCAGGTATCATTTGCTTTGCAGAACTACATTCTGGACCCTTTACCACTTTGTGTGCCCATGAAGTTTTGACCACCATATTAGAGTGGTAAATTATGAAGTGAAACAGGCTTCTTTTAAATATAATCTGTTTTTCCCAGAAAAATCTGTCTCTCTGTAATGTGTGCTAAGTGTCGTAGCCTATCACAGTCAGCAGCTGTCACTTGCTCTCACCTCACCTCTTAACAAGGTTTCCTCTCATTACTCAAATGACTAGAGTCTGACATTTTTCTGGGAATCCTGTGGGTCACCGATGTCTTTTGTAGTGCTCTGTCCATTGTGTCACACTAATGCAGTGTTTGAGCATAAAACATTTTTGTTCTGTTTTTCTCAGTTCTGTCTCCATTCTCTCTTTTTTGTTAATGTGAACTTCAGATTTGCATATGCTCTGGCTTTTTCTCTGGACAGTAATTAAAACCTTCTTTATTTCTGGATCACTGCCAAAACACGTTCTTCTATTGCCCGCTTCTGTTCATAGTCGGCTGTAATGTCTTTTCAATGACTGTTTGGTCTCCACTGTAGTAGTAAAATGTTTGATTTTTGCCACATGATCTCATATTGGAGTTGCCTCTATGGTGATGAATAAAACCTTGTGTTTTCCCAAATCTTTTTCCAATTTCCAAATCAATATAGTAATCTGATTGGCCGGATCTGTCACAGATATTGTCGCACAAAGAAAAATTTGTGTGCATTCATTATAAATATTAATACATGTTTTCCCAAACAACATATTGAAAAGTAGCCTATTTTGTTTTCCACCCACTACATGCATCCGGTAACATTATTAGTAACTGTGTAACTTGTACAACGATAAGATGTAGTGTTGCATTAAGCTAATTTAATTCCGCATTAAACTCATTGACAAGTAGTGCATACCTCAGATACTGCTGCATAATACTGCAGAAACCAGTGCCTCCTTTACCTATTCACCAGATATGCTGTTTTGCCTGCAGGGAAGCAGCACAGCAGCGACTTTTCCCGCCTGATTGCCCAGGTTCGGGGTCGCCTAGAGACCACCCGACAGACTTGTATCAAACAGAAAGTCATTGTGGAAGGAGAGGATACACAAAAAACACACTTTGCAGGTACTGCATTACTATTACCTTTATCAAGGAATAAAGATGTACTCCAGCCACAGGGGACTTTTAAGCTCTCTGGAACCCTTCAGCATAAGTCACCTGAACCCCATGGTAACTGCTGTCACCAGTTCTCCTATTTTCCTATTTCATGGGGTGGTGATGTTGCAATGGATAAGACCCCATTCCCCACTGTGACCCATCCACCATTGTGTTCCTGAGCAAGACATTTAACCCCTAGTTGCTCCAGAGGCATGCGACCTCTGACACGTATAGCAATTGTAAGTCGCTTTGGATAAAAGCGTCGGCTAAATGAATAAATGTAATGTATTTTCTGTAGTGAAACTATCACACATTTGTGTTTTTAACAATATGTTAAATAAGCTGTGCAATGCAGCTTGACAAGGTTGTTGCGATTCCCCGCTGGTTGTGTGTGTGGGGGAGAGTTTAAAAAATTAACTGCAATTTATTCCGTCGTTGCCACAATGCGACTGTACACTGCATTGCTGTACACATCTGGGAAGAGTGGATAAAGATACATCAATAACTGTAATTAATGTTGGTGTATTTTCATGTCTTTGCAGAGAACAATTTACAGAATGTTAAAGACAAAGTGCAAAGAAGGAAAGTCAGCTGGAAAACAATGTAACCACAAAGGAACCTAACCTAATTTTCTCTAATTCATCAAAAACAATTTGGTAAAACTTAAAACTGCTGTAATCAATATATTCTATTAAAGATGTATCAAATTGGGGCGGCTGTGGAAGTAGAGCGGATTGACCGTTAATTGGAAGATCGGCGGTTTAATCCCAGGCTACTCCAGGCTGTATGTCGAACTGTCCTTGGGCAAGATACAGAACCCTGAATGTTAGTTTCTGTTTGAGCACTCATGCTCAGTGTATGAATGTGTGTGAATGCGTGGAAGTGCACTATACAAATACAGCGCATTTACAAATAACAAAGTGAAAACAATCACATGTCATAGTGAAAGGGGTCGCTGGTAGTGATGAACCTAAATCTGCAGCTCCACTCAGCTTTACGGTGCTTTATAGCTTCATTCATTAAAACGCATTCACAAACATTGCATGGCACTGTGTTAGAGGCTTGATATATGTGACCGCACCAGCAGGACCTTAAATCTGCTGGCACCAGTGAGAAGGTGTGAAAATCTGGTGTCCAAAGTGGACTAGGGGGCATTCTTTAAATGCAGTTTTATCCTTTTGTTTGGTCACTGCTTGATTCCCCCTTGATGTCTGACAAGATGATATAAATTTTTGTCTCCTTCAGATGAAGTTGAAGAATCAAAAAGTTGCTTTGCGATGAAGTTAGAAGACAGAGAAACTGATGATGAGCCATCTGCGGAAGGGATCGAAATGTCACCCAGCCCCTCTGATAGTGACGTGTCCATCAGCAGGTGAGCCCTAAATAAAGGAAAACATCCTGATTCACTTAGAGTAGGCGACTACTTCGAAGCTTGTTGTCAAGGCTTGGTCCTTTTCGTGCAACATAAAGGTAATATAATAAATAAGGTAATGTTTACATGCACATTCCATAGACATGGATCCCATATATTCGGCGCATCGTCGCTGCTGAATTATGAGCAGTGCTGCTACTAAACTTTAACTCAGTTATTTAATATCAATGTGGAACAAATTATTTTCGCCAACCCACTGTTTGAGCATGGTAAATCACGCTTTGCTAGCTTCCTCTCCTCCTTCATCAAAGGACAGGTGCTGTTATAAGAGCAGCAGAGTTGGGTCTTTTAACTGCAGTGCAATCCGTAGCGAGTGAGTGGACGAGCGAATGAGAGAGTCTGTCTTGTTTCCACAACTGTTGGAAAGTGAATTCGGTTAGCGCTAGCTAACATCTCCCTGTGCTTCAGACGGGGCGGAGTCACATGACTCCACATGGTGTGTTTCATGGGGGAAGTACATGAACGCACTAGGGCTGGACAATTAATTTGAAAGTAATCCAAACCAAAATTCAGAGCCTCTAACCGACATAATTTCCCCATGTCGGTTATTTAATCCTGGTAATATTGTGTGTGTGTGTTTATGTACTCTGTAATGTGCAGTCAACATTACCATATCAATTAACATTTAGATAATGGATTTGTGAAATCTGTGAATAAAAACTCCAGCTTTAATAGATTAACATATTTACAGGGCAAAAAAAACATTCAAAAACAAAATAATCGTTCAATAATCATAATCGAGGTGAAATGTTCAATTAATCATGATTTTGACTTGAGGTGAAATTGTCCAGCCCTAGAACAAAATATTACAAGGATTAAATAACCGACATGGGGAAATTACGTCAGTTAGAGGCTCTGAATTTCGGTTTCGATTTACTTTTCAATTAATTGTCAAGATTTAAGATTTTTCATGCCTCTTGTATTGCATTCATAGGACAGCATTGTAATAATTCATTTAATATTGAATTAGGATTTCCTATGAACTACTTCACAGTAATGTCAATTACTGTGGTAATTCCCAAAAAGTTGATTGCATTCAGACATTGGAGAAAAGTAACATTTACTTATGATATAGACTTTTGGCAAAAGTACAAAACAGTTCTACAAAATGAGAATAAATTAACCACAAACTATCAAAATGTAACATTCTTTTATGGTAAATACAGAAACACAGCAGAACACTGAATCTGCAGAACCAGCTAGAGGAACAATACAGTGACACTCAAATTATCAGCCGATCCTTTTGTACATAAAAGTAAGGGTTGTTTAGTCAGAGGTGTCTACAGCCTACCAGACAAACTCTACATCTGGGACAGACAAGCTCCTTCGCCACACCATTAAAACTGATATTGATAGCCTCCTGTCTGTGCTGTCAACATAGTGCTGCAGGAATCGGACAACCCTTCCTTTTCAAAGTTAGCCAGAACAGAGGCGCTTACTTCTAATCCAACTAACTACTAATCCAAATCCTTTCACATGTTTCTGCCTTGTTTGTTTGACACATTATCAAAAAATTGGAAATAGATAAACAAGTAGAATGAAGCCCTGCAGCATTGATGTGGAATGATAGACTTACCTTCCTTGTCCTTATCTAAGCTTTCAGCTGGTCAAGGGAAATGAAGCTGTTGCAACATAGCTTGCATGCCCATTTCCTCCAGCATCAGCAGTTCATTTGGAAGGTAGTTTCCCTCACCACACTGAAACTGGCGATGAAATTGTCTTCATTGTGTAATTCATGTAATTCATGGCTGCTGGATGTTAGAACAACAAATGCAGGTTAGAAATGAAAAGCTTCTCTCTAATGATGACAAGAGAATCACCGGCCCCACTTTTTCCAGTCCTGATACCAATACCGGGGCTTTGGGGATTGGCAGATGCATCATTGTGCAAGTACCGATCCGATACTAGTGTAAAATGAATAAGCTGTATTCCTTACTTTGAGGAAGAGACTGGGAATCATTCTTTTATGTTTACAGCAACATGATGCTTGACTAAAACTTTGCGATCCAGTTATTTGAGTCGGTGTTGGGCCGATATCGGATCGGTGCATCCCTAATGATGACTACTTGTGACTGCTTGTGGACACAAAGGGCCTGATTTACTAACATCCCAAATTAAGAGTACTAAATTGCGTGTGCATTCTAAAATATTGCACGTGAGATTATTATTATAATTGTATTTAAATGAGTATTTTAATGGTTTCCGCCATGGAGAGTCAGGAGGGAAAGCAGCCACTGCGTAAAAACCGTGGTTTGTTTCATTCAGTGCGTCCTGAGTATGTGGAAATCATATGTATGAAACAGCTACAGTATGCTGGAATGACCCAGACGCGAGGAAATGCCAGCAGATCGTGCTTCATCCGGCCAGAGGAACAATCAGCGACCCCAACGCCCCATTCCCTCTCTGATACCTACAATGGGTTGTGTCGCTATTACGAGCGGCGCACTGTGAACAGTTGGTGATCGTTCCCTCTGGCTGGATGAATTTTACGCGTGATCCATGCACTGCTGCAGCGGGCTCTCCGCGGCCCTACGCAACTTTCTCAATTCTTCCATCTCACAGAGAAAAGAAGTCGGGTTGAAACGAAATTTTTATTTTATTGCCGTGAATGCTAATATAACAGTATTGCCAAAGCTAAAGGAAAATACAAAAAAAACCCAATTCAAACAATTAGAATAATATTATCTAATAGCCTATTGTTAATTTCTCTACGTTTTCTTTCATTCTGCATGCACACCGTTAGTAGATCAGTTTACGAGTTATTTTGCTGGTGATATCAAGTTTGCACACGTTTTTACTCACCAAAACCTTTAGTAAATCTGGCCCAAACTATGTGTTCAAGCTCCAAGGCCAGCTATGAAGAGCTGCATACAATGATCAGGCCAAACACCCACTATATGATACAGTATATATTTAGGAAGTATCAACAATCAGATAAGGACCACTTAAAGTTAAGTTTTAGTTTATAGCAGAGGGGCGCTAAAAAAACACCGAAGTTTTCAGTTTGAAAGTGGTTGTGCTCCTGCGCTAGCTGCTGAGCCTCACTGATAAATTTTGATATTATGTTGTCCTACAAGGAAACCAGACCTTGTTGTTTTGTGAACAGATTCAGCATACTTAATTTCTTCCAGTCAACATTTGCAGAAATACACTGCTGATATCGTTTTGGTTTTTTTTGCCAGCTGGTTCTCATGTGCAGCAATGAATCAGAAAAACACAGCCTGTAGAAGTGGCCTATATGGCAATTCCAAAGGGAAAACCCAGTGTTTGCTAAAGGTGTGTAAGACCGAAAACAATGTGTTCACATACTACATCAACACTTAAGGGGAAACCTCTTCTCCAGCAGTTACAGCAGACATTTGATTTTGTTTAATTTATTTAGGACATCATTGTTAAGGTTACTTCATGTCACAGGTTCATCTGTGTTTTCTGGCAGTTGACACATGTAATTTCTGGGAAAACGGCAAGTCTGAGAGTAAATGCTAATAATTCTGTCTGCTCATGTTAGTTACATCGTTGTATTGTATAGTATTGCGCAACATCGAATCTATCCCTGTTAATGTTTACTTTACTGATGCTAAATAGCTGGATGTGTAACTTGAAATAATAGGCCCTCTGCTTGAAACCTTCTCTGTTTGGGGATTCATGAGAACTAACTCTGTGGTGGCACAGGGTCATGTCCTGTTTGGATTAACCTGCATACTGAACACTTTATTGGATTTTGTTTGATAGATGGTGGGTCAGAAGTCATAATAGATTATGCTTCTGACCACACACCATTTTGCATCTCTGTTTATTTGTCAAGAAAAACCTTAATTTTTCATCTTCTTTGTGACCAATTATTCGTCAGGCCTGTCACGATCACTGCATTGCATTTCATTTAAGCGCAAATACCAGGCAGGGGTATCTTTAGGACTGTAAGGAGTGTATTGCAAACATTTTTTACAATTTGTATGTTTAATTTGTATGGTAATCTGAATGTAACTGTGTATTATAGTGTATGTTGGTGCAGCATGTTTTATTGGCTGGATTTTAAGTGAGGGTTTTTCGTGTGTATTTCAGTCATTCCAATTAATATACTTACTCATTACTTTCATTTCATCAGTCACTCAGAAATACAGAAACTATTATTTATGCATTTTATTTTCATTTTACACCCCTAATTAGACTGACATATTTTTGTTTTAGACTGTTTGAAATTAAGAAATGTATTGTGATGGAAGATATTGTTTATAATTTTTAAGTCTACCAGTCACGTTGTGCTCTTAATGTGCATACTGGGTTTACTAAACTGAGTGGGTGCAACTAATCACTTGTGACGGTTTTCTTTATGTTTTTTTTAAGCCATCAGACACTTGATGGGAATAATATTTTTTTATACAAATCTTTTTCTGTCTGTTGTTTAATATCACACCAATCACACCAGCTCTTTCAAATGCAAATAAAATCAAAGTCAGTGAATCAAACGACTTCAAAATAACAAAAACAAACACGTGGTTGCAAGGTTTCTCTGCAGCAGGACAAGGTACAAGGTAGATTCATGTATTGTTTTACAAGACAGGGTTGTATAATGAGATTAAGTTGTAATTTAGCCATAAACTATATGTTTGTGACAGGAGTTTTAACAACCTGAACAGTCTAGATGAGCTGTTTGGGAGGGGAATTAAAACAACAACTGCACAACCCCCTTGTCAAGTTCAAGTAACAACAGAATAGTCATTTTGTTAACTGCATTATGGAAGCCTTTTTTATTTTTAGGGTCTGTGATACAGAAAACCATCTGCTCATGAGTCTAAAAAAAATTGGTATTGTTCAGTTTCTTTACAAACTCAGGAAATGTATACAGGTTCAAACCAATGCACTAAGATTATTGGTTTGTTTTAGGGATGCACAGAATGTTCGGCCACTGAAATTAATCGGCCAAAAATAGCAAAAAAAAAAAACTTTCGATGTTCGGCCTAATGCATCAAAAGACAGAATAAATTTTACTGAACAATTACATTGACATGTCGGCAGTGTGGAAGCATTCTAAAGTGTCAGAGAAAGACGCAAAAATCGGTGTTTGCAGACACTGTTCTGCTGAATTGTTTCCCAGCACATCCACTCCATCTGTGGCTGAGTTCTCAGAAAAGGCAACAAACGGTCTGACACGCTTTGAGTGTTTCTGTCACTTGTTTCTGAGAAGGCGATTAAGCTAGTTGCACCTAAATTTGGAGTGCACACATTTCAAGCCTTTATGGTAACTGAAACGGACCATCATTTTCTCTTTTTAAAAGTCAAGTGTTGCGGTATGAGAGTCCTACCTGAAGAGAGGCTATTAAGTTGTCATGTTGTGCGATACGAGAACCACACACAACAATTATTTATCATATTGGGTTGGACTTGATGAATTTACCGCGAGGATACACATGTGACAACATCCTTATTTTCAAAATAAGGTGTCTATCCAGTTTGGAAATAAGATTAATTGGATTATATTCACAGAAAGTATAAAAAATATTACATGTGTCCATTAGAAGTAAATGGACACATGTAATTTACTTTACCGGACCCTTATGGACCTCAGACCCACCCACCATAGTTTCTTCAAATCCTGTGGGAAACACTGAGTAAAAAGCACATTTTGACTATTTAATTTATGCAGTGGTTTAAAAAAAAAAAAAAAGCAAAATGAATGGAAAAAATGTCAATCAACTTGTTTGGTGTTCGGGAAATTTTTTCATTATATTCCAGTTTCGGCTTTGGCCAAGAATTTTCATTTCGGTGCATCCCTACTTTGTTTATTGAAACAGCAAAAACCCTGTACCTGTTAAACTTTCTAAATGACATGTTCCCCCTTTCTTCCTCTCCCATCACAGTTCTATTTCAGACATCTTTGGTCCAGAGCCTGCCAGAAACTTCAAGTAAGTGAATCTGCGAATCTGAATTTTTAGTGTCTTTACAGTATATTTTCAATAACAAGTAAAGTTTACTTACTTAATAATGTCAAAATGTCAACACACTATGGGCAAGCTGATGAATGCTATGCATACTAGGCATGCCAAATACACTACCATACAACCCTACCACCCATCCACACTACTCCGTTTTAGTTTACAAACCGAGAATTAAAACGAATACATTCTCCGTCCACACCAGTGTTTTAGCTGTGTTTTGGAGTTGATCTCCGTCTACATTAAAACGACTGGAAACGCACAGCTAGTTCAGGTACACTGGGCATGCGCGTGCAGATGTAAACATGAAGCAGACGGTCTATTCTGTAGTTACAGAAGGCGAAAAAATAAATAAATACAGATGAAGAAACAGACCAGTTTTGTTTGTTTTTTTTTGCACGCACCAAGTCGGCACAAAGTAAACGGCGACATGCACAGTACAAGTGTAGGCACATAAGTGTTATTTGCACCGTACAGAATATTTTAATAAAAATACCATGTCAAAAACCCGGCATGTAGCATAGTGTTTCTGCTTGCATGTCTTGTAAGACCCAATCAGAGAGCCGAGCGTGAGCAGCTGCGTCATCATTTCCAAAGTTCTCTGTTTTAGGTCTTAGTTTTTGCTGACGTAGTCTGGATGGAAGGTGCAAACGTAGCAAAAGGTCTCAGTGTAGGCAGTAGTGTGGATGGGGCCTTAGAAGAGCCTTTGTGCCACTTGTTGCCTCTTAAAGCCCAAGCCTTATACCTGAGAAAAACAAAGAAAACAAAAGACCATAATATGTGATCAGGTCCAAGTAAGAATTGCTCCAATTTAATTATAAAACTGTGTGCTTGTGAAGGAACATCATAACTTTCTCGAGCACAAAGCATATTATTGAAAACAGGCTCTGTCAGTACGGGTATATTTTCCATTTGGTAAGTAAAATATTTTTTCTTAAAGTGCAAAAAAAGCTTTGCTATTGAAAACCCAATTATTTTACTATTATACTAAAACATAAATTATATTAGAGTAATTTAAAAAATTTATTAATTTATCAACCCGCGACTCTGTATGCAGGATAAGCGGTTGACTGTGGATGGATGGATGGATGGAGTAATTTTATCAAAATATTTAGCTCCTTCAAATTGATGAATATGTATTTTAAGGAGTATCAAGTGAGTCTTGTACCACAAAACTGAGGATTTAAACTTACCTTAAAGTGGTGCCTTTTTAGCAACCAAGTTTGTCGCAGCCAGCACTATGCAACTAGCTAACAGACAATAGCTGGCACATGGTTAAAGCCTACTGGGTGGAACTCGCATTTTTGAATGTATGGTTAAATAGGCCGTCGACATACACATATACTCTGTGTGTGTGGTCAAATAGTTACTACAGATTTGCATCTTTTAAAAAGAAAAATAAAATCCATTATTTAAACTGGTAGCCTCATTGAGATCATGATCTCTTGTTTAAGTAATACCTATGTAGAATAAACATATATGTATGGACAGACAGAAATTTTGCAAACATGAAGAAAAGCAACAAGTGGAGTTGTAAATACTTGAGTATAGTCTTTTAAAATCATCAAGTGAAATGAGAGAATTTCAAAAAATTTTTGTGGCTCATTCCATTTGTGAGGGGGACTGTATTTTATACCAGTTCCAAGTGCGGTTTGAACATGTGGTAATGTTAAAACATCCTGTGATCTGACATTGATGAGTGCTGTATTTATGAGACCGAGAGCAGAGGTAGGGTTAAAGAGGACCATCCTAACTTATCACATAAGATGCAATGGTGAGTGAGGAATTTATGACCTGTGATAAAGAGCAGTGCGGTGTGATGCACAGTCAAGAGTCTTTATGGTGGAGTGTGAGTCATGCATACACACAATCACCAGACATATTTGTTGACTTGCATAAGAGAAGCATCTATATCTATCTATACAAAAATACAATTTTGACATGCAAGTTTGTTTGATAAGAGATCTAAAAAATAATCATGAGCGGACTGTGGATTTGTAACGGCCACATTAAGAGCCCGTGGCACATAAAATAATCATCAGCATAAAAATGCACGTGTTTATATTATGTAAATGTGATGGTTGGTGGGTCTGTGGATTTCTGAATTACATTTCTAGGGCCTATTTTTAAATTTTAGTCATCCACTAATGTACATGAAGAGTCCACTGACAAATACTCAGCCTATCCAGCAGTCCAAGGATCATATGTAGGTGTTTACAGCAGAGAAGTAGCTCTAGCACAAATGGTTAGTGTCTCTCTATGGCCATAGTAAAAGAAGCAGAGCAGCTAAGCCTGCTGTGCTTTCATAGATAGATGGTATAGGTAGTGCTAGATAGATGCTTATCACTCACGGCTTAACATTGGACAGCATGTCCTTAGCGTCCTCTGTGACCATGTATTGTAATGCTTTTCCTTGAGCATGTTTGGGACCTTCACTTATCAGAGACAGCGAAATAGCACTGCTCATCAAGTTACTCTTGTGTACAGATTGTTGGGAAATAGTGGACAGGTTTGTTCTTGGTGTCCCTGAGCACCAGGTGATTTTGTAGACAACGCAACGTCCCCGGAAAGATGATTTTATCCAATTAAAGTCAGAAACTGAGTTATGTCAGTGATAAATGTAATTGTCAAGAGGTAGTGGTGGTTGTATTTTGAAGCAATTACAGATGTGACAAGTGGACTCAGTACTGAGACTTAATATATACTGTATTTTCTGTGCTCTGTTTTATTTGCCTCGATCATTTTGAAACTTTGCTATTAATGCTGTCATGTCAGTCAAAGGATTTTGACAATGCAATACAGCCACACAGGACTAACAGCTGCATTTACATGCAAACTGCGCACTAGACAAAGAATCATACCTTTTTATCTACAGAAGGTGGCGCTGCTTAGCCTGCATTGCATTGCATCTTCTCCCCCTCTCTTAATTTGCTGCTGGTGTAGCCATGTGCTGCTAAACTAACTCTTAGTCGGACAAGTACAAATAACAAACTAAAGTACATTATTATAAATGTTAAGTACAGATAACACACTACTAAGTAAGTAAATTATAATTGCATTTTAGCTTTTATAACCAGTTCAGATGACACCATATAAGGATGACCAGATGTGAATAGTTGAAATTCCGGACAGGGGAGTTGGCAGTGGGCGTGTCCTCCAGTCCATGACATCCAGTTTTAACAAACAGTGAAACGCATGAAAGTCAAAATGCAACGCTAAAATAATTTTTGTTCACATAGTCAGCTGTCTGTCATTCAGAAGAACCACACTGATTGTGTTGTATGAAACAGTATGTAAATCATGATCCGTTAAATACAATTTATTTCATTTTATTCATCGGTGCGCTACCATGACATCTGTCTGCGTAGCATGTGTCAGATCTCTCCTTCACCATGGCTGGTAGTGACACCTGTCGCTCCCGTCCTTGCAACTGCAACTTCCACTATCTTCTAGAAAACAAAAAGGGAAAAAGAGCACGCAGACGTGTTACCTTGTGGCTATAACAACTCGGTTATATGTCCACGATACCCTGCAGTCCTCGCTTTAGCCAATGGAGAGCCAGAACGGTGCCCACCTGTGGGCAACACCAAAATAATGTTTCACAATGATCAGTATTTCATGTTTTATGAAGCTATAACTAATCAAAACTCAGATTTAGTCTCATTTTCGGGACGAATAGGGTAGGATTCGAGACAACTGATCGTAATTCGTAACACTACACCATGTCCTTTCCTGGTTCACATTTTGCTCACTTCTGACAGATATGTAAAATTTTGTTGAAAGAAGAATATTTTCACACACGTGCACTTTTGGCGCCCCCCAAAGAGGTTTTAGCGAGCGCCAAAGGAAAATGACCAGCGCCAAAATGATGAGAATTGAAAAGAAAAAAAAAAAAGCGTTTCAGATATTCTCCTAATGTGTATTAATAGCCATTTATCAAACAACTGTTGAGCAAGCAGAACATGAACTTAAATACAACGTCTTGACTTCCAGTAGTCACCTCCTGTCATCCACAGCGTTGTTTTTGTCTTTTACACATGCAGCTGGCGATGAATTAATAAACCAGTGGCTGCGTTGGTTTGACTGCGCCTGAACGCTCCCATACAAAGGTGAGCTTGCACTACTGGGAGAGATGACTTCCTGTTATTTCTCACAATATAAAAGCCTTTTGTGCTTGAAATGTGCTGGTAGTCACCGGTACTACCACTTTTACATTTTACTCTTTGGCGTACCGGCACCGGTCCTCTCCCCTGCCCTCTCTAAATCAGGTATATCTGGGTATTACGTGAGGCTCACCTGTTCCCGTTCTCGCCTGCCTGCTGACCTCCGCAGGGAGATCGGGAGCCTTTCATGCAGCCGTGTGCCTCAAGCTCGTCAAAGTCAACCAATCACAGCCTGGAGGAGGCGGGACATTAAAAAATGGTTGAGGCACTACAGCAAACTTTAGAAATGTGGAACTTGTTGTTCTGTATGCACGGTTATTATTATTGATGAGTTACTAGGCTACTTTACATAAACAAATGAGAGACTAACCACCAAGTAGAGTATTTGTCTTGCACAATAATTGAATGACTGAAAACAACCCACAAAAATTAAACTGCTGTTTTTTCCAACTGGAATTAATATTAGGCTACTAATGATAAGCTATAGTAGACTATAGCCTACTATGATCTGAAATTATAATGAATACACAAACATTAGCACTAATCAAACCTTAACCACAGTGGTGTAGGCTAATATTAGAGAAAGGTTTTATTAGTGAAACCGCTTAATCTCAACTAATGAACTATCTGTAAGCAAATTATCCAAATCAAGTGTAACCTGTAAATATATTATTATACTAACATTATACTTTTATTCCTTTTTTCCTCCTGGTTGTAGATATATTTTGTTTATCAAATGGTCAGAAATGACAAGAAAATGCATCTATTTTGTCATAAGGTAACTCATCGCCTTTACTGTACGCGTACCGGCCATGCTTATTGTCGCACAAAGTCACCCCCCAAAGGCCCATTCTGAGCCAGGAAAAACCCTGACTTATTAATGTTTTTTTAATTGTCAAATGATACTGCCTAAAATATTACATTTATCTGTGGCACAATACAGTTTAAAGACAGTTTTATCATCCTACCTTCCTATTTTGTTACCCAAACACAGGTAAGTCTGTTTCAAGGACATTTCACGTATGGAAAGCTTTGCTGTCGCACTACTGACAAAACAACAGGAGCACATACATCTGACTGTGATTTAACCTTGTGTTTCTTGTGGAGAATCCAGACGCCATCTCTTTCTGAATGACCTTGAGGCAAAGTCCAAACCTGCCAGTGTTCATTCTTAACGTCATCATTCCACACAGCACATTTATCTGTATATAGTCATAGTACACCAGCAGTGTTAGGCCTTGGAGTGCCTCATCAACTCAATGGGTGGAAGCCAAGTCTGTACTTGTAAACGTGTGAAAGGAACTTTTATTTCTATCAGGCAAGGCTTTATCTCCATCCTCCAGGCCTTTTCAGACTCTGGCAATGATGACAAGTTAACTGTTGATTGTTTTAGTCCTGATCCACCCCAGAGGCAAACTGCCTGCTTACCAGTAACTCACTATACTCTGTTATAGTCTCCATTCTTCTGCTGCCTGCATGTGGACTTGTGAACCAATTTCCAATGGAATTTTGTTTTTCAAGTCCATCCAGTCACAATCAAGAAGCACTGGACCTTGTCACTGGCTTGAGTGTGATGTACATCTGTATAATGTGCTGAAGAGAACACTTTATGTAGAGCTGCACGATTTTGCGAAAAAGTCATATTGCCATTATTGTGGACAATATTGCGATTTGCGATGTGATTATAATGGAACAAATGGCACTATGAGTCTACTTGCTTAATTATCAAGGAACATACACAAAATACGGACTTTGAAATGTGTATTTCTCAACTTGAACAAAGTTAAACAATATTTATAACAATAACTTGTAAAACAGAACAAGGGAGTGTGTTGCTCTACGGAGGAGGCGGCTAGAAGCAGCAAAAATTGGCACACTGGCATCGGCTCAATGTAGCCTACAACCTCTATCCACAACCTCAAGGAGGAACTGTATGTGAGTGTATTATATGAAGAGTATAAAGTTAAGTGAATTGTAAACTGCTAGTATAACAATAATATATTACATGCTACATTCATTATAATTTCATTTAATAGTATACTATTTTACCACTAGTTGAATATTAAATCCAGTTACAGCTGTTTCATCTCTGTGGGTTGTTTTTATTCATTAAATCCTTGTGCAAGCAAATGGCTCTACATCGGTCTCTAATTTGTTAATGCTCAGTACTAACTTGTCAATCATGTTGTTCAACATTTAATAATTTACTGTAGCACGTCAAACTTTTTTTAATGTCCCGTCCCATCCAGGCTGTGATTGGTCAGTTGACGAAAAGTGACTGACAAGTACACGTCGGCTCTGTGAAAAGTTGAACATGTTGAACAGCAACAGGCACCGATACAGCCAACGTTAAATGTCCAGCGAGCCAAACCTTCCTTATCTTCTCACAGTTTTCTTCTGTCTTACTGCTTCAGCTGCTGCCGACGTCTCTCTGTCTCTGGCGAGTCTGAGTTTTGAATGATTAGCAGCGCGGCGGGGCATGGAGGGGGGTTACGACTGTATACTGCTCATAAGTTATTTTTCTCATTGTATGAAGTGTTATCTGATCATAGGGACACATGCGAGAGCCCGGTGTGGGCAGAGATAATTAGCAGACTTCAGCGCAAACCGAGAAGAGAGCTCAAACACATCTTTTCCATTTTATTAAATCACACACTTTTTGCGGTTATGTAATCGCACGTGACGACATCACGATTGCGATTAGATTAATCGTGCAGCCCTTGTTCCACATGCAAGACACTGAGGTTTGAGGGCTGTCCTTCAGTTTCTGAGCCGTGTTATCTGAACTTGTCATAGGAGGGATCTCAGTGTTCACCAGTTTGTCAGCGGTGGTCAGTAATGGGGCTGTAATTTAACATTGCATGCTGAGCTGTGGAGCCCAGCAGGGCTCACATAGTAGCAAAAATATTGATGTGGCAGTTGGTAATCCATAAGGGAAAACTGCTTATTTAAAGTCATTAAGCCCTGAGTCCAGATGTGTCCCTCTGACAACATTAAGGTTTCCCTCGGAATACAGACTTCTTGTTTACCAACTGAATCGAAGTACAGATTTTAAAGTTGTCTTGACAAAAGAAATACTATAATAGGAATCATCTTCAACTGGAGAATTGGTGTAAACTAGTGATGGGCAATGATTAAAATTTGTAATCACGATTAATCGCATAGTTATGCGCAAAATTGAATAATGAATACTAAAGTAGTCTATTGCACATTTTTTATTTAAATGTAATGCTATGTAAACTAAAGTGCAATAACATGTGGTTTGCAAACACTTAAAACAAATAAGGTGCTTTTTACCAGCAGTATTCCTTTTATGCAGTAGCAATAAAACATTAATGTAATCAAATCAAATATAAAACCAAAGCTATTTGCCACTGCCAGTGCATTGTGTTTAATCTAGTTAGTTAAAATTCGTTACCATCCACAATCATTCCGATTGTTTCGAGTCCAGAACCACAATCATAACAGGCACCTTCTGAGCAACAGGTTAACATATATAAATCTGTTTTCTTGTTTTTTGTTTTCTGAACAGGTATCAGCAGAAACATGTTTTCTTTTATCAGGGAGCAGCATAACAGTCTATGTTCAGTAGCAAGTGTCCCTGTTAGAGTGAGGTTAAGTAGTCGCCTCACGCACACACGCCTGCCTGCTGCCGAAGTTGAATTGTCTTGAACTTTTTGTATGCAACACGGAGCACAAATCATTGGAAGAGACACTGATCCTTGCTGTTTGTGAGTTTCCAGAATCTATTACTGTTTACTAAATAGGACATCAACAGGAGGGAATTTGCATGGCAGAGCATCCCCACAAAACTAAATGTAGGCCTATCAGGTAACGTAATGTATAATTTTAACTTAAGTTAAATAGGCTTAAGCTGTGTAGCGCACAGAAGCCATTGCTCTCCATAAAGCGCCTGCCGTTTACTTGTCTCTTCCTTTCTGTTCACCGGAGCAAAGAGCGACCCTGCGGGGCCAAGAGACTATGTTCTGATTTTAGGAACGTTTCTAAGACCGACATCTTCCCCAATACTAATCAGCATGCAGTGTGTAGCTATCCACTTCGCTATGGTTATTGATCGCTTGTCTTGCTTTTGTACGTATATCTATTTCTTCCACACGCAGCAGCGTAGTCTGCCGAAGCCTTCCCCCACTGCTTGTTTAGGTGGGTGATTTGCAGGTTGATCAACATCCCGCCCCTCCTGTGACCCAAGGTTTGACTGTATGTGTATTCAGAGCCAGTGAACAATGGACTTTCAAAATAATAATAAAAACTGCATTAACATGTGATAAAATAATTGTCTGCGTTAATTAATTGATGCGGTAACATGATAATAATGCGTTAACATGCCCAGCCCTGGTATAAACACGTATTTACCTACAAATAGATTGCATTAACTGTGTCAGGAGGGTGTATTGCATTTACTCCTCATACAATTTTCAGGATAAATATTCAAAATGGCTAACTATTATTATTTTTATTCAAACGGCATTTTGTTTTAGTGAACAGAAAAACTAAATGCCGTTCCCAGAATTGGATAAAGTCTCGTGCTGTGGCAGATTTAATTAAGGGTTTACCTTATCATTAAAAAATACTTGCAGTATAATCAGATGTATAGTGTATGCTATACTACTTATACTAAAGCTATGCATGTACAACTTCTACTGTTAGTAATATAGTGTTTGTGTCGAGAGCAGTTTGAGATATTCTTATTATTTTGTATTTTACATATTGTGTCAGAGTGACTGGGCTGTGATCTGTGAATATAGTAAGTAAGTTGTATAAGTTGTACATTTTAGCAGCACAGAAAGACCAATCAAATCATGACCTGTGAGCTAACGCAATGTACAGGATTAAGACAAACCTACAGTGTCTGTCTTCCCTGCTTAAGTTGACTTAATGTTTGTATTACTTGTTCTGGTAAGAAATCTTCCTTTTCAGTCACCCAGGTCCCAAAATGGATATGTTTTGTCTGTCACTTTGCTGGATGGATAGACACTGGTGTGTAAGAGCTTTGTGTTGCATGAAACGTTGAATTTCTTTTTCTTTTTAATTGGACACACAGAGTTATATCAAAGTGATTTATACTGTGGTGAGCAACCACTTAGTCCACTGTAATGTATTTGCTGGAGGGGTGTCGAGCAGAATGTTGCACAAGATAGTCAAAATAATTTTCTGTCACTTGAGCAGCATGATAATCAAGTATGAATTCATTCAGGCTATGCTCCCTTCATTTCCCCTCAGTTGATTGCAGTCTGCTGAATTTATATTGTCTCCTCTGAATTTGTTGGTCAAAGTAAAGGGGCTTTTGGTGTTAATTGACTGTATGAACTACTGGTTATGTAGAGGCAACTGCTAGCAAATAAGCATTCATTTTACCTTCTCATTTACCACATTCATTATGACTATTTTTGAAGCCTTGGTAGACTTGTTGCATCAAAATAATGGTTAAAGTATACATGTTGTAATCATGTTTTTGAAGAGATTAAATTGTAAGCTTTTCCCCACCCTCTCAAAAGTGAGTTTTCCCAGGACACCGTTTTCACCATTACTATTGTAGATTGATTGAAATAGTCTTTATGGCTTTAAGACCTATAGGCCTATAGCTGATTTATATTCCAGAAATGAACATCACGGTCGGTAGGTAATTTACTGCTGTAAGCTTTTTTGGTATTGATAGATTGTGTGCAGGAGCCAAGCAGTTGGTGTATAGTAAATGTATATGATTAGTGCACAGCAGTGCGACAAAAAGGTAAGGTGTCTTACTACAGAAAAAGGAAACATTGCACCTATTCAGATAAGCGTATGCCGCCGCAGTGCATTTTATTAGCCTGGTACCTTGAGCACTATTTGCTTATACTTTTACTTTATTTTTTATTTATTTATTTATTTTTAAATTCAACAAAATGTTCAGGACATGAAAGTCTGCTAATGATGCAACCTTAATTTTGTTTTTGTATTATTCTTCCCCATTCACAAAAGATTAAAACATCATCTCTGGAAATGTTCTTTCATAGAGACACAGAGAGGACCTCAGTCCAAAAGCAAGCATCCAGGTTGAGACGAGATGATGCAGCTTCATCGACTTCCCTCGGAAAACGGCGGCGTAAAACGTAATGAGAGATGGAGGAGACCGAGAAAGATCTATCGCCCACCAAATCAACACCAATACACTTTTGACTGACTTTCAAGCATATCAAGAAATTTTTTTTTTTGCACATTCCTGTTCGGTATTTCATGGGATTTTCCAAAGTTGCACTGTTAATGTGTCATGGTATGAATAAATGTTCAGTATTTTAACATTTTGTAGTCCTGTGATCCATGATGACCTGTGGCCCCAGAATTTGATCAGGTTAGAGGGTAGTAAGAGGGCTATGACTATAATCATTTGAATCTGTTTTAAAAACTATTTAGTATGGTAGAGATTTAGTTTCTATGTGTAGACATAAGCAGACATTATTATAATTTCTACTTGTTTCCAGTGTCCCAGTTAATATCCAGTCTGTCCCATCTACTGCTGCTCTTAATATTGAATCCAAGTTATGTTGTTGTTGTTTTTTCTTTATTATCTTAATCTTTTCTTCATTTCATGTTACATTGTAATATGCAGTTTAAACTGAAATAAACCTGTAGAGGCATCTGATAGTTGCGTATGAACACTTTTTGGGTTACATATTAAGATTTTTCTTTAGCTGCCCATGTAGTCCCATACAGATGTTGACATTTTTGTACAGTGTACAGAGCAAAACTTTTGGACTTTGTCACTGTGGTGTAACTATTGAATTAGCAGCTGTATAAATGATTCCCAAAAATGCACTTTTTTGCTAACCTTTTGCCGCCTTTTCAAAAATCCCCTCGTTTTGGTTTTATTTTTTCGGCCAACTTGGATGAGGAGCTCAGTTACATCTGCATCTGTCATTTGCATTTTCGAAGCATGCAACAAATCTGGAGCTTTCAAATTGATTGTTTTCTTTGAAAGAAAAGTAACCGAGGTCAGTTTAATTCAATCATCTCGATTCTTGTGGAAACCCCAGGTCAACGCAAGCCAGTGTGTAAACACTTAAGAAGAGGAGGTGGTGTTTATGTATACGTGCGTGGGAGAGTGAGCAGGAACACATTTGGGAGCCAAACTTGATTGGAAACAGAGCTCGTCTGGAGTTGGAAACTTGGTTCTTCTGACCCCGTCATGTCCCAGGGACATTGACGGACACAGCTTGAATCATATCAATGTGGCATGCTCATTATACCACACAAACATACACACCTCTGATCCCATTGCATCCTTACTTCTTCCCTATACAGTAATGCTGTTTGTATCTGGCTTAATTAGCAGGACTGTTTGAAACACCAGGAGAGGACTGAGTATCTGCTGGTCCCTGCTTAGATTTGGGAAGCAGTGGACCAGGACACACACACACACACACACACACACACACACACACACACACACACACACACACACACACACACACACACACACACACACACACACACACACACACACACACACACACACACACCACCTCTGGGAAAGATTCACAGAGACTTTACCTTTTCAGTAGAAAGTCAGTATTTGTCTTTGTATGGCTGGTAATGTTGAAGGGGATATTTGGCATCTGTCCAACACAAGGTAAAACACTTTAAATCTCATAAAACTACAAATTATACCAACCCCCACCCCCCGTGACAGCCTTTCATAACCGTCCAAATCTCCTAAGAAAGGATAATCAGTGTGAATGTCATGGTAAGGGATCAGTTAGATTCTCTCAGGAAGGCAGAGCAGCAGACCTACAGGGGCACATTCACACTCAGGAGCGAGCGTTCTGCATGAACTTTCTGCCCCTGACTACAGCTCTCATTAAACTCTGCATGGAGGACACTAATCACTAAGAGTCTTTTGATCCAGGAATTAGCCAGAGGCAAGAGGTGCCCACACTAATAGGGGAATGTCCATACCTCAGTGTCAGATTTCTTTCTGCATTAAGAGATTATGACCATAGACTATTTGTTCACGAATATCAGCAGCACAATTACTTAGAATAACTAATTACTGTAGTCGGCTTCATTTTCTATTGGTTTGTAGTTTGCAATTACAGAAACAACCATCAAATGAAAAGGTCATTTGAAGCCAATGGACATTGATGAAGGAACCCTTAGGAAACTCCTAAAATATGTTCAGGCAATCCATGGACAGTGTTTTTTCTCTGTAGTTTGGAGTCTGCTTTGTCTTTTCCTTATGAAGTAGCACTTCTATCAACAACAGCTCATTTGGCATCAGTGTTGTCCTCCTTTTTGTGCTTGGACAATTTTCACCTCTGCATTCCAAAACAGCTCAAAAACAACCTTTGTCAGTGCTTTGATGGACCAGCGTGGCTGGCAAGTGCCTTGAAACAAGGCAAAAGGAAACACACAGCGCCGGTATAATGAAAATGCGATAAAATGAAACTTCCATGAAAACATAATGAACAACAAAATGGTGGAGCCAGGTTTATAGTACAGCACCAGAACATGGAGTAAAATACACAATATAAATATAAGCATGAATGTGTATTGAATTTGCAGTCCCATGTACCACGTTATTTTATATTGTTTCAGTAGTTCAAAGGAGACAACAGACCAAGTTGGCAGCATATAATTATAATTTCCCAACACCTGAAGAAATACTAGAAAAATCACAAGGTGTGAAATTTTGTAAGTTACTTGTAATAAATCTTGAGTTGAGCCATGTATATGAAACACATGTCCATCTTGTATGATAATCTGTTTTAGTGCTACAACATGCAAAGTCCATCCCAACATATCAGATCACATGAAACAGGGACATAGGGTTGTCCCATTAGCAATGACCATTAGCTGATCTGGTTAAAGAGTGTCTTTGTTTTATCTTTCTTGCTGTATTGGACTTTGTTGTAAGGTTATACCATGTCCATAGATCTCAGCAATGGTATAGTTGATTGAAATGTTACCGCAACAGATAGGAATGATGATCTGGGGGGTCTGTTTTCCTTTAAATGTATTTCTAACTTTGGTAATGTAATAATTATTTAGCATAGTATGAAATATAATTTCATTTGTGTGGTTCAAGTAAAGCAGTAGATCCCAACAACAGAGCTGTGATTGTTTTCTCCCTTGCAATCAAAAAAGAAATTATTAAGAGCTAGGCCAAACGAATGCAATTAACTACCTGGTTGGATGAAACACTAGCAGCACCGGCAAGTTCATATAATAGGCTCAAAGACAAAGTAGGAGACGAAGATTAAGTCGAGTTCATAGAGATGAGCCAAACTCTATAATCTCCTCAGACAGTATGTGTCCATAATAAACACTAGCAGACTTGTTATTTTTAGAGAGTGAATTGATCTGTTTGCGTTCCTGTGTCTTCCTGTATTTTCTTTTTCAGCTTATTATTTTGGAAGGACCCACTGTGCCTTTAGTATGCTGGCCATTGTTGAGCTTTTTGACTGCTCCCATCATCAGGATCTTCAGGATTTTCTCAAATAGGATGAACATTGTTTTTACCACTGATCTATTATAAAGAACACATTGATATGCAGGACACTTTCATGCATAACTCAAGTATGTACCCACTTTAGTTTTTGCCGTTAGTAACTTTAATGAATGTCTTTCCAACAGTTGCAAAGGATGCAGAATAAAGAAAGACCTTAAGAAGTCTCCTGAGAGAGCTTTTTGTTATCTTTTTTTTATACTAATCCTGTTCAAACCATCATTTTCTTGTCTGGAACGACAACAGCACACACAGAGCACACACATAAAACAATATTGAATTAGACTGACAGGCTAAATTACAGTCATTTACAGTATCTAATAGTTTCTTTGGGATGTAACAATGACAGGAATCTATTCTTCAATATAATAAACTGTGTTATCATTTGACACAAAAGATGAAACACCAGAAGCTGTTTTTGTAGCTTTTTAAAGGACCCACCGACAGCATTTATCTGTGCAGTAATACATACAGTGTTTCTATTTGAATATGTAATTTCATTTAAGATGATGTATTTTTATTGTAGATTCTGAAAGTGATAAAAATTTAGTAGCAACTTCTTGTCAAAGCCCAATAAGTTTCTCTGCTCTTTGATTTGTTTCCACTCAGAACTGCTATGTATATCAAACTTTGATTGTACGTCAAAACTATTGATAGAAAGCATCTGGGAACACCAGGCAGCCTTCTAATCTGCCACTCTGTTCAAAATCAAGTGCTTCATTCAATAAATGACAATAAAACAATAAGCCTGAATTGTTCTGAGGTGACTACGTAGTTTACAGTTCTTACATTTTGTAAAAATCCTTTTATCAGTTGAATTCTTTAATATCTTTACAGTTTGATGTAAAACACTCATATCACATAACATGAATCTATGCACACCAGATGGGGAGCATGGCATTTAGTTAATTGTTCCCTAAAGTAAGTAAGTAGAATGCCATCAGTGGTGCAATTACAACATAAGCATGTTCAAGTGATTTATTTTGGGGTGACAGATGCTGGTCTCAAACAAATGCACAATATGTCCATGATATGGCGAATTCAAGCTGTTGTTGCAGGTTCAACAAGAATGCACTTACATATGTACACCTTCATCTAAGGTGCCTTTAGCCTAAAATAACAACATGCCATATTGTAAGTGGCTAAATACCGTGTGCAGATAGATGCCTGTAGGTTAGAGTGTAGACATCTATGTGCATGGGAACATTTAGTTTAATATTCAGGCTTCTTTGTGTGGATTTGAGCAGATGATCCAATTAGCTCCCTGTATCAATAGCCAGTGTCATGCTCAGAGATTTATGGGGGCTTTGCAACAAAATGAGTGCTATAATACCGAAAGTATTGAGTCTCTGAAAAAGAAATTTGCATAAATACTCCAGAGGATTCTTCCTACTGAAGTGCGATTACACAGTCTTACTCAGGATAACAAAAGCAAAATCCACCATAGATGTTCAGTCGGATCCCTTTGAATGAACTTGAATGATCTTTGCCATTTGTGTTAATCCTAATGGGGATTGCCTAAGTTACATTCATTTAGCATTAGACGTGATGACACTGTGAATAAGGCTTCGTCACTTTGGTTCAGCACTAGGATAGAGCAGTGATTCAGTAGGGGTTGGGTATGTCACTGAATGCCAAAACTGTGCTCCCAGTGATATTACATCACCCAACTAACATTCATTTTTAACAAAGCTATGACATTGACATAATTAAATATTTTGCTTGGCAGTTAAAACAATCTTGTATTTTTTCCAAGCCCTGCCGGTATGTGTTTTGGAGATGATACACTGTGCCTAGTTCTGTGGTGTTTTAGTGTGCCCAATGAGCACCCAGAATGTAACTGCGCATCTGGGAGAAGTAAAAGTTTGCTGAACTGAATTACAAAGCCATATATTTTTCTTTATGGTTTCCTTGACTTTGAGAGACGTGAACGGGTCGCTCAGTGGCAGGTTGTGTAATGACTTGAGAGATCTCTTTTTTAAACACAAAAATCTTGCATCACTCAAGTGTCAATGTGGGAAGACACCGAATACCCATATGCACCTCCTCCCTGTGGAGAAAAGCAAGTAGAAGGAGACATCTCAGAGATCAATAGGCTATAAACCCAGATCACTTCCCTTTAGTAAATTTATGCCTGG